GGAAAATAGTAAATCTCTATATTCTGTTCCAGGGACCAGCAAACAAAGACATGCCATACCTATTCCAGTACTTCCAGGAATGTAAGAGGGTCTTGAGTATAACAGAGTCTGTAATATCCTTTTCTGGAAGAGACCCCTACTCAACCTCCAAGCCAACAAACCCAGCAAATGAGGATCAGGGTATAACAGGGGACTTTGAATCAGAAGGTCTGTTTGGACTGGAAGTTCCCTCTGAGGTTTTAGACTCATCCGTCTCACCATATGGAACCAAGGGCAATGCGGCCAAAAGAGAAGGATCATGATGACTTCCACGATCTCCTTCTTAATCTTCTTCAGTACTGAGTCAGTAAGAGGAAATACATATGATAGTTTGAACCTCCACTCCTGGGCCAGGGCATACTGACCCTGACCCTGCAGGTCATGCTGTCTTGCAAAATATGCTTGGACCTTAGATAGATTTGGCCATCACAGCTTTCCGAGGTTTCCCCAAGGTCTGATTCAGTTCCAGGAAAACTTACAGACTGGCATAACTGCCACTTGAATTTGTTCAGGATCACTCGACTCATGGCAGGTGAATTTCAGAAAGTTCCTGAACATATCTTTGTGCCCATTTCATTATGGGTCGAAATTCATTTATCTGTAGCCGACTGTGAGTCCCACCCTGATGATTTATACAGGACACAGCTGCTCTGTTGTCCGAGCGAATACGTATCCATTTGTATGCTAGGAATTTCTTGAACCTTAGGAGAGCTCTGAAAATGGCTTTCAAGATTTTGCATGGAAGGATTAACTCTTCCTTCATACACTGACCCTGTGCCACTAGGTTTAGATAATGTGCACCCGATCATTGACAGCTTGAATCTATGGTTAAAGTTATCCAATTTGGCTCAGACAATGAAAAGCCTTAGAACAAATTCTCACTACTCAGCCACCATGTCTTACTTGTAGTGGACCACGGGTAACCCGACAGGTTACCTGCACTATTACCTTCCTTTAGCCACTCTGGAACCATGAGTACAAGTAAATACCCATTCCTTCAGAAACTTGACGAAATATAGTGCTGGGAGTCAACTAAGGTTTATTGCAACACATGCTGCTTTTATGCACAGATACCTACATGGGGTCTCCCATACAATAATACAGGGCTTTTCCTCCCAAGAACCTCTACAGAAAAATATACAATATTCTAAAACACTCCAAAAATACATTTTCAAAATGGGCTAATTTGATTGCATGGGAGGTCAGAGCTTACAATCCAAATTCCTTTTTGAAGCTGGGACCCCAACTAAGCTGTTCTGTAAGGTGTGAAAAGTCACACATAAGTGGCCTGGAAGTCTGGTTTAAATATAAACTAACTCTCTAGTTTGCCATATTCTATCTTAGATAGGGGTCCTTTGATATGTTAATGGCCATGTGTTCCAATATCATTTCCAAAAGACACATTAATACCAACCCACAGATTAATATTCAAGCCTAATTTTTATCATATTTAGAATGGGACAAGCACAATCTTCTAATCAAGACTAAACATGATTTGCGAAAAAGGGGACCCCACAAACAATACATTGTTAAATAGCTAAGTTCTTCAAATAGCTCTCAGATCCATGCAGTGTAGTTAGGTCCTCTAGTCCGCTACATATAAAATAACTCCCAAACAGTGTCTCAGACTTGGACAATTGTGGGTGTGACCATAGAATTGGGGTCGAACCTGCAACAGACATTTTGCAGGAATGGACCAAAATTAATACATAATGCAGATTAAGGGACAGTTTTACATTCCATAAGGCTGTTTAAAATGACCTATCTAAGCAAACAAATATAAGAATTCAGTTCCAGCATAGAACCATAATAGTTTATATATATTCACAATGCTCTTATGACAGATTATTATAATACACTTTAGCTCATTCAGCACTAGCACTATTTAATTTGTCTCCCACGTTGGAAATATTGTAGGACCCACCGATATTGGGGTACTGTGAAGTAGTAGTGGGCTTAACACAATATGGCCATATAATAGCATTAGAACATTTAAATCTGCATTTTTTTTATGAGTGCACTGTTCCTTAATCTGTATTATGTATATATTGTGGTCATGAAATGTATGTTTCAGATGTGCCCCCAACTGCCTTTTTGTCTCAACTTAATTCCTGTGAGAATCCATGTTCATGAAGTAACACTCCACTTAGTATTTATTGTAGGTGTTAGCATTAGTTGAGATTTGGAACCCTAGAGAAAACAGTTTCTGGAGTTGCATCCAATATGTTGGCTAAGACAGGGTCATCTTTCTCCCTGTGATTGTATTACTTGGGGAGTATGGGAATGACTGACACTGTGTGCTGGCAGTGAAGCCCGCATATTACCGTCAGCGTCCTCACACACAGTCACACTTTGACAATCAACACATTCACACTCAGTCAAGCCCCATACAGAATCACACTCAGTCAACACCCGTATAATAACTATTTCTGCAATAAGGCTGTTCCATGCATCTGCAACTCTTTCTTAAAAACAAAACGAAACAGGTTTTTTCCAACATTCCAATGAAATGTCTCTCCATCCAAGCTCAGGTAATATTTTTAGCTAACATCTAACTATGGAACACATCTTCATCTTGTACTTTGTAAAATCCCTGGAGATATTTATCTGTGATGCTAACCTGAATCCCGCTCCACTCTATGAATAAAACATAGCACTGTTACTATTGCAATGTTAATGTTTCACAGGACAAACCTGAAAAACAACAGCATTTTAATGTTTTCTTTCTGGTAAATCACTTTGAAAAAAT